GCAAGTCTTCTGCGCAGCAGTCAAGAGAAACCTGCCTCAAACAGGACTGGAAGCAAGGACCGATGCCCAAGGCTCTCTTTCACTTCTACATGTGGGCTGTGGCAAGCATGTGCCCTCACCCACACACATATGCAAAAATAAATGCTGCTGGAGAAATGGCTCAGTGCTTAAGAGCACTGACCTCTCCTCCAGAGGACCCAGGTTCAATTCTCAGGACACGCAGGGTAGCTCACAACCATCTGTATGTAACTACAGTCCCAGGGGATCTAATGCCCTCTACTGACCTCTGAAGGCACCAGGCACAAAAGTCATGTATAGACATACATGCAGGCAAAGCACCCATACACTAAAATAAATTAATAATAATAATAATTTTTAAAAAATCAACAGATTCCAGTTCCAAGAAGTTGGGAATATATCTTTTCTTATTCTTCCAACTTAATTCTACTGAAAACAGTACATGTCTAGAAAACAAGCACAAGATTAGGAAAGGATCAGGGAAGGGGGGAAATTGTTAGAACACCAGGATCTGAGGAATGAACCCTGTGGCTTCCCATATAACGCTGAAATGTCAGCAGCCATCCAAACCTACGTTCCCCAGCCAGAGTGTCGTGATTATGGCCACCATGCCAGCCTTTCGTGACACTTTTATTTGATATGCTTACTTCACTCCCCCGCCTCCCCATGAAGATGTGACATTCCTATCTGAAGACAGAGTGGCTTCTATCCTCCCCCTCTCTCGTTTTGCCCCTCTTCTCTCCCCTTCTCTCCTGATTCTTGCTATGTTCCCCAGGCTGATGTTGAACTCCTAGGTTTAAGTGACGTTCCTGTGTCAGCTTCTTGCATAGATGCAACAACAGACGCAGGCTTTCATGCCCAATGCAAGCTGGCTTTTTCAAACACACTGTAAAATGTTTTAAAGACACCTCCCGTTACAAACGTGCCAGGTAGCTATTCGATGTCTCTGTAGCTTTAAATACGCTACATTATTTCATTGATACTGATGCTATTTCTAAATTATAGTTTACAGATTAGTACACCATTCACTTCTGAAAAAAAGAGCAGCTAAACCAAACCCAAGTGCAAGCTTTCTTGGACTCTCGCTTTCAAAGTATTAGTGACCAAAGAACAGAAAAGAATGTGAAAAATACAGACATAAAGAAAGGCTTTGCTTCTTTTGATTAACATCTTAGAACAAACTTAATTTTGAAAATGGGTGACTTTATCTTTCTTCTTTAAAGTTACTTCCTCCTCTGAGAAAGTCCCATAAGCTGTTCTTGGGCTGAGGCAAAGAACTGGTTTGCGTCCAGGAGTTCAACGCTGGCATGGGCCAGCCAGGCTGTTTCAAACAATAAACAACAAACAAACAACTCCCCACTGAGCCAGATGGCAACACAGAAAATGGAAGCATTATTTGCTAGGATTTTGAATATTTAAGTTAAAAACCTTAAAAATCATGGTGCTATTGAGATGCCTCGGTGGTTAAAGCACTTACTGAGCTTACAGAGGACCTGGGATTGGTATTCAACACCCACATGACCACTCACAACCACCTGCAACTCCAGTTTCAGGGGACCAGTACTGTCTTCTGGTATCTGTGGGCTCCTGCACACATGTGGTACACATACAGACAAGTGAGTGCGTGTGCGTGCCTGCACACACACACACACACACACACACACACACACACACACACATATACAATTGGAAAAAAAACCCAACATTTACTCACCAATCAACTATTCAATCAACCAATCAGGGAAGAATCATTCTGATCAACTGTAATATTGATCACTATAAAGTCTTTCCTTGGACCTACTATTACATGAAATATAAAACTAACAAGGGTGACAATGTTTTCCTAACTTAGAAAAATCACCAGTGTATAACGAGAAGAGCCCATACTGGGCAATGGGAAAATAAAATTCTACCCCGAGCCCTTTAACAAACGTACTTGGGAAGGTGACAGAGGCTTTAGAGGCTCTCCGATCTCAGTCTCCCCGTGTCTAAGGAAAACGGCAGTGTGGGCCACCACAGGTAAGGTGTTGGGCTGCAGTCACAGGTGACCAGCTGCCCTCCAGAAAAGAAAGGTCATTTGCCCTGACCTTGTCAAGAAATAGACTGTCTCTGACAGGCAGCAAATGAGCTGGCATGGGGAGTCTAGGCCTCTGTGGCCTTGGGAGCATGGCTTGGGCCAGGTCAGTGTTATACCTTACAGCGCAGGCTGAGCTGACTTGCAGGTGTCTGACAAGACAGGCTGTTGGCAGCTACTCCCTGGGGTTGAGCCTGGTCCTGAGGGTGAATGGGATTGTCCTTGGAGTTAGGTGGGCAGTGGAAGAAATGACAATGCTGTCTACCTCATCGAGACCTAAAAAGCAAGAGTTGTCCACAGCCAGGGTTTTGCCCTTTGCTTCTGGACCTTACAACAACCTCCGCCTAGCGCCCACTGTCCAAGGGAGAAGAAAAGGCTGGCAATGAAGTCCTCTGGGTTTTCAAAAGTCACTGAGCGACACCAACGTGAATTTGAAACACACAGCAAGAAGCAAGCACGCTCAGCCTTCAATCACATCTTTCAAGGCCCATTTCTGAGAATAGAAAATTCTAAGCTCAATTTGGGCGCCATTGTAAGCCCCCTCCTGTGCCAGATGATTTTCTCCACATATTTACATATGGAGCACAAACAACTTAAAATGTTTACACTGAGGAGTAATGGAAGTCATGTGTCAAATGCAATGGGGGGGAGGTGGAAGGGGGCTAAAGCTCTCTTCAGAGCTAAAGCCTGAAGATATACAATATCTGTGGAAAATCTGGCCCTGCAAATGAAAGTGCTTTGTTTACCTATCCCATCTAATTACAGAGAACATGCCTTCTACCCTTTGCAGACAATTTCTTAGGTCGTGTTCGCTTGGTTTTTGGTTTGCCATTTGCTCTCAAGTGTCGCCCGAAGCTATGGAATCCTGATCACTCTACCAAAGAATCTCAGAGAAGGCCACACACACTCCTGCGATTTGTGATTCCACTTGCCTAAATTTAGACTCTCACTCCCAGAGACACAGTGGAGAATCCTTCCTCCAAGCCACAAAACCCAAGAGAAAAACCCATAAGCATCCCCCTCCTCAGTCCTCAGTACCCTGCCCTGTGTGTCCTCCTTGGACAGGGTAAAGATGACAACACTAGAGAAGGTTGGGAACTGACACCTGGCGTCTTCCTCTCCACCGAGATGTTCTCCTCTTTATCCCTGGGCATCAGCCACCAGTGACTCAGACCCAGCCATCCATCAGAGCTCTGTATGGGAACAGCACACGAGCTTGACAGCTCCCAGCTTCTCTCCTATGCAAGGTCCACCCTGGAGTTAATAAAGCTTGAAGGGGCTACAAGGACAATGCAGAAAGAACAGGGCTATGCTGCCCATTTCTCTAATATGATACTCTTAGAAGGATCAGTCTTCTTAACTCTTATAAGAAGTCTGACTCTTCTGTCTTGTGTTGTTTTTTGAGATGGGGTCAGGCTGACCTTAAATTTCTGGTTCTCTTGCCCAAGCCTCCAAAGTGTTGGGATTATAGGTTGTCTACCTCAACACATCTGCATCCCAAAGTGCTTTGGGATTGATTATAGATATGTCCAACATATTTGCATCCTTCTTTTTTGAGGCAGGATTCCTTTCCTCACCAAACTATGCTCACCTCCATATATCACTTCTCACATGGGACTAAATGTAGTACATGTCTGACTATTTGGGTCTAATTTGGTACCTGTGCTGCCCATCTAATGGGGACACTATGGAATAGTCACCTGAGACTTCAGAGGCTTTGGTAACATTCAGGTAAGTGGACAGTGTAATGGTCTGTCCTGTCCCTTTAACAGACAAGCTTTACCCACTCCCTCCCCAGTCCGCTAAGGCAGGCAGATCTTCCTTCTGCTTCCAGCCTGAGTTCTTTCCTTTCCATCTCTCTCCAAAAGAGGCAGCTTCTGTCTTTCTCCCTTCTCCCCCACCTCCCCTCCCCCCTCTCTCTGGTTTTCTCTGTCTCTCTCTCTCTCTGCTCTTCCCCTTCTCCCCTTCCCCATTCCCTTTCCCTTCCATAACCCACTAAATAAATACCCACTATCTCTGCATGGTGTGTCTCTGTCTCTCACCTGCTGCACAGCTCCCTGCCTGGGACCTGCTGACGCATGTGGCCCATGGGCCACTCAGGATACCGCAGTGTTTTATTTTTACCATAACACACAGCGTCTTATTCTCTCCTTTGCTTTCTCTGTCACTTGTGTAGGAGGCTTTCATCTATCTCACCCAGTTCTTCTTGTCCTTCAAGGAGAAAGTAGAGAACTTCCTCTTGCATTCCATCTAGACCAGTGGTTCTCAACCTTCCTAATGCTGCGACACTTTAATATAGCCCAACCATAACATTATTTTCGTTACTACTTTTTAACTGTATTTGCTACTATTATGAATCATAACGTAAATATCTGTATTTTCTAATGGTCTTACAAGACCTCTGTGCAAGGGTCATTCAACCCCCAAGGGGTCGTGCCCCACAGGTTGAGAACCACTGCTCTAGACATATATTCTGATTCTCAGAAAAGTTGACACTTTCTCAGGGGCAATTTCTATACAGTCTTGGTGGGGTTTTACACATATCTTAGCCTGTCCCACTGAAGATTTATTTTCTCTCACGACTCCAACTAGTACCTGAACATCTAAAACCAAGGGCTGAGAAAGCAGAATCTTTGCATCTAAAACACAAAGTAATCTGTAGAGCTGAATTTAAAGATGCACAGATCATTTTAATAGCATTCTTCCCAGGACACTAAATCTGAACTTACCCAATGCATAAGCAACTTTAAACACAATCCAATAAAAGCTAATGAGCCAAACAATAGCCAAATTTGTAACTGAAAACAGCCTGCATCTCGGAATCTCCGGCTGCTGGTCAGTATTTGGTGTCACATTCTTACATTAGTGAGACAATGATGTAGGCTCTGTTACACGGAACATCTCTTACCTGCAAATATGTCTCCAGGCCTTGCCGCCGTTGTTCCAGGACTTTGGGGACCCAGTTCCTGACGTGTTTAGAAGGGATTTCTGGAGTCTTTATACATTTCTTAAGCTTCCAAGACAGAAGAGAAAAGATGTCTGTTAATTACAATAAAATAATTTGGGAGAAAGAAAAGCCAACTAAGCAAAATAAACCTTCACTAAAATATGCAGAGAAGTTTTTCAAGCATTTCTTCCTTAGGCAGCCTGATTGTTTAGGCTTCAGAACAAATGGGTTTTATGTCTGATAATCGTTATGGTGAGTATTTCAGATTTAAATGAGCTTTTTCTGAAACATTGAAAGTCTAGTACTTGAACTAAAAGGAAAGCAAAGTAAGACATATAGTTTCAAATACCAATTTATTTCATAGCAATATTACCACAAGCTTTTAATCTTGTTCTCTAACTAAAGAGAAAGTTCTTTCACATATGATTTTCACATTAGAAAACAGAACAAAGTATGGACATTTCTTATCACTGTCCCCAGAAATATCACATTAACTGGAGCACAACACTCAGGAGAGGTTCTAGAAATTTCTGAAATGAAGTGAATTTGAAAATATAGACAAAGGCTAATCCTTCCAACAATCCAGAAGAGAACTACAAGCTCTCCTCGTGCACACTGAAAAGCAGTTTTGAGTTAGAATATCCAGGGAGTCCTTTTTGGTAACGACATTAAAAATATATATTCTGGGTTGGAGAGATGGCTCAGTTGTTAAGACCACTGGCTGCTCTTCCGGGGGACCAGTGTTCGATTCCCTGCACCCACATAGTGGCTCACAACCATCTGTAACCCAAATTCCAGGGGTCTAGACACCTCCCTCTGAACTCACCAAGTATCAGTCACAGAAGGGTACACAGACATCCATGCAAGCAAAACACCCAAACAAATAAAATCAAATAAAAACGTAGTTTTCAAAAAAACTATTCAAAGTTAAGTCAAAGCTGCTCTGGTCTGTAAAATATCATCTATCGCCAAGAAGGGCTAAGCCCTAAACCTGGAGTTTTTCCACATACAGCAAAGCGGAATTTTTTCCAGTTTGGTAAATTATTGATTTAATAACAGAGTAAATGTCCTGGATTATCTGGGCAGGTTCAGTGCAAGCATGAGGCCCTTACAAGAGGGCAGAGGTTACAAAGTACAAGGGATGGTGGTGCACACCTATACTACCAATACTAAGGAGGCTAAGGCAGGAGGATCACAATGCGGAGGGTACCCTGGTCTACAAATAAAGATTCTGTGTCACGGCGGGAATGTAGCTCGGCACTTGTTTAGCATGTACAGTCCATTGGGTTTAATCACCAGGATCTAAAAATATAAAAGTAAAAAAAAAAATTCTTAAATAGGTGGCTATCTTTTAATAATGGTCTCAACAGCCTCCAGAAGCTAAAAATGCGCAGGACCTTTAGAAGCTTGGATGTATCTACTCAGGGCTTCTAGAAGCTTCAATGGACCCACTACCCGGGGCCTCTAAAAGGGTTGCAGTTCTGTTGCCAACTCAGTTTTAGCCTGGTTAAGTTGATTTTGGACTTTGCACGAGAATAGACCCGTGCAGCTTTATGCTACTAAACTTATAGAATGGTGCAGAAGTAACCTCTACAAATAGATAAGCCCGCCATCCTAACTGAAATCTTGAAGACTTACTAACATGGTCCCTTCGCAAGAGAAAGAACATTTTCTCATCCATGAGAAAACGCACGCCTGAACCTGTATAGCCAAACGCACGATTAAACTTGTGTAGCCAAAAACACAATAAAACTTCTTTCCGCATTTAAGAAAATTTTCAAAGGTGACCACTCTAGGCTGAACCTTATGGACACTATGAGAAAGGAGCATTTCCAACAGCAGCCCTTCAATGGCTGAGCCCATGTTTGCCTCCTCCCTCTATACAGATACAAGTGATTGTAAGCCCCAGTCTACCCTTTCTTACCAATGGAACTTGTAGGAACAGAATTACACAGTCTTCTGGGCACAGCTGCCTGGAGAGCTAGAAGCCTGCTGGAGCCTGAGGTCATTGGAGATTCCCAGTGCTATAATTTTGCTGGCCTTCCCTGTCGGCGGTACCTTGTCCCTTTGAGACACAAGTTCTGCCCACTCCCAGTATCCCCATTCCTGCCAAGCAAGCCCCCCCCCCTCTGTCTCTGTCTCTCTCTCTCTCTCTCTCTCTCTCCCCACTGTTCTTCTGAAGAGACAGCTTTCTGTCTCCCCCCTTCCCTTCTTCTCTCTCCTATTTCCCTCTCTCTCTCTCTCTGTCACTCTATCTCTCTCTCTCTCTCTTTTCCCCATACCTCCCTACTCGTACACTCCCCCAATACCCATTAAATAAACTCTCCGTACCCAAGCTCTCTTTATATGGCGTATCTGTCCCTTACCAGCCACCGTCTCCCACCTCCAGTGGGACCTTCCAGGGTCACTCATGCTGTAAATCCTAACACCCAGAGAAGTCTGGTTCCAAAAAGAAGACAGCATGGGGACACTAGAGGACTTAGGATTTGTTCAAGCATATTATTCTCCTGCCGGTTAGAGGAAAGAATTTTATCACTTCTCAATCATTTGGCTCTGACAATAATAAACAAACACCTTGACCAAAAGTGCCTAGAGAAGGGAAGGCTTTATTTCATCATCCAGGGAAGTCAGGGCAGGAACCCGGAGGCAGGAACCAGCGCAGGCCATGAAAGACTGCTGCTTATTGGCTTGCTTCCCATGGATTTCTCACCCTACTCTCTTACCCCATCCAGAACCACCTGCCAAGGACAGTACTGCCCACAGTAAGATGGACCCTTCCACATCAATCAATCAAAAAAAAAAGCCCTACAGATTTAACAATACATGAAGGTATTTACTCAATTAAGATTCCTTCCTCACAGACGACCCTAGATTCTGTCCAGTTGACATTGAAACTAGCCAGCACCGCACACCAACAGAAAACAAGTTAATTGAGTGGATGAAAGTGATAGCATTAAAATCGGGGGTAGGGTGGGGTGGCAGGGAGAAGGCCTGTGTGAGGTGGCAGTGTCTGAGGCATGAACTGAATTCTGTTTGAAAACAGCCAGATGAGCGACCCAAGGAACATTATTATGGCAGAGACATCAACAGAAAGGGAGAGCCAGGCCTTTGGTGCTCAAAGCCAGCAAGGAGAGAAGGACTCCCACAGGTGGCAACACTATACACTTCAGGGCCCTGTGGGATATTATTTTAAATGAGAGGTAAATTGATGAATCAACAATTCATGCCATGACCTAACCTTTACTTTGGAGGGAACATGCTGGGTTCATTGAACAAGAAAGACAGCATGGGGGAGAGAGGTGGAGCTAACAGGCCAGTTCAAAGTGGCTGAAGAAAGTGAGGCAAGAGATGATGGTCTTGACTGTGTGTGCTGATGGCCTTGACTGTGTGTGCTGATGGTCTTGACTGTGTGTGCTGATGGTCTTGACTGTGTGTGCTGATGGTCTTGACTGTGTGTGCTGATGGTCTTGACTGTGTGTGCTGATGGTCTTGACTGTGTGTGCTGGTAGTGGATGTGGGCAGGTGTGGCAGGCTATGGGTGTGCAAGGTAGGTCAGATCATCATGGCGCTAGGGCAGACCTTCAGGTGTAGACCTCCTCTGGCAGCTGTCTTGATGAACTGCCTGCTATTGACTGAACGGTGTCATAAAGTCAGGTTTGAGCTCAGTGACTGTATTAGACTTCTCTAGAACTGACAGAATGAATACGGCTGTGAGCCAGCCAGCCCAACAACCGCTGTTCATCAATAGAAAGTCCAAGAATCTACTAGGGGCTCAGCTCATGAAGCCGGATATCTCAACCTGTGAGTTCGAGGCCAGCCTGGTCTATAAGAGAGAGTTCAGGACAGGCACTAAAGCTATACAGAGAAACCCTGTCTCAAAAAACCAAAAATAAAAAAAAAATAAAGTAAAATAAAAAAAAAATAAGAATGTGACTGCATCCTGGTCACAGAGAAGAAAGCAGAGGAGGTGTCAATCCAATCCAAAAAGGGCTCTCAGAAGTTGCGGAGGAAGGGAATCTCCTTCTTTTCATTCGTCCACCCTTTATGTAAATGGCCTATACAATGGGTGGAGCCAGACCAGACACCTTCATCCACCAGGCACAAGCTGTGCAGTTGGAAATGGTAAAGCAACAGGAGCCTGGTCATGCCCACGGAAGAACAACAGAATCCCATCTGTGACTGTCACCACTGTTTTGTGCTTACAACCACTGTCAGCTCTATTTAATACCCTGTGAACAGGGGGAAATGTCATTCAGAGTTCAACATGTTAATATGGAAAATCGTGATTTCCTAAGTTCCCTTATCATCACCGTGGTCATGTGACACAATTGAGACTTGTTAAAACGTAGCACAAGTCTACTGGGTGGAACTTCCGTTTTCCCAGAAAGACAGCAGAACTTGTTTCTGCCAGAAGTATGAAGTGAAGCCTGGAGTGGCCGCAGTTCTATTATAATCAGAAAGTCAAGTCATGTTTGGACGGTGGACACTGAGGCTAGCTCCATCCCTTGGGGTGCCTGACTTTAGGTTTCCTGAGGATAACAACAATAGATCTCTTACTTGCTTAAGAAAACCAGTCAGGGGCTGGAGAGATGGCTCAGAGGTTAAGAGCATTGCCTGCTCTTCCAAAGGTCCTGAATTCAATTCCCAGCAACCACATGGTGGCTCACAACCATATGTAATGATGTCTGGTGCCCTCTACTGGCCTTCAGGCATAACGCAGAAAGAATATTGTAAACATAATAAATAAATAAACAAACAAATAAATATTTTACAAAAAAGAAAACCGGTCAAAGTTCTATGAGATACAACCTTAGACATTCCTAACATAAAGGAATCAACTCTTGAGATGGGAGAATCTACACTAGAGATGCCTCTCGGTGTCCACGTGGAGCTAATGTGTGAGTGAGTATACAGAATTCTGTAAAACCAGGAGTCTGAATCCTGTGTGTGTGTGTGTGTGTGTGTGTGTGTGTGTGTGTATGTGTGTGTGTGTGTGTGTGTGTGTGTGTGTGTATATATATCTTATAGATATAGAACTAAATTATATTGCATTGAGAGTGAAGTCC